ATAAAACAACTTGAAGTTATAAATCGACTCATCACTCATTTAATCTAAACTCAACTTGAAGATTTCTGGTGAGTTGTTAAATACGATTGACTTGACATATTGTATTTGCAATAATAGCGCCGCTAACATTCCCTCCCATTGCAATATTCGCCCCATTAACAGCTGGAACACCTTCCTGAATTGAACAAGTTACCATTGCATCCACCTCCTCAGACAATCCGTTACTCGACGGTGAGTAAATAATAGTCATTTACAGTAGGCCGTTACTTTTGCTACGCTCCGCCAATTAGCATTAGCTACCAACTCGACAATCAGGGGCCACATCATTTAGTCTATTTATGAATTATTTACTTAATGACAAGTCACACTGTTCAGCCGAATTAAAGACTACCCCTTTAATACTTAAAGGTTTCCTTTTAACTTTAGATTTGATTATTTTTCATGATTTCTTTGTTGGTGTTGTTTCTATGCTGGTGCAGCAATGAAGTCTCATATCCAACATGATTTGTTGTAGCTACTTTGATCAATCACATTTTTAAATTGATTGATTTTGATTCAATATTAGTTGTTTGCAATGACTGCTAATTATGTCAATTAAGAAACTTTGAACTTGAATTATGAAGTGCACTTTTTAAAAGGATTTTTTCCTTATTATAATGAAATTGTCGAAACATAGCAAGTATGTATTTGTTTTATATAAATGTAAAATTTATATATGAACTTAATGTGTGTTTGCTGGCCTTTTAGGTCAGGTTTTTTTTTCTTCCGGACTCCTGCACGGATACATTGGATGACGGAAGATGGCGAGCTACCCACCCACCATCTGGTGGTAGGAAACAGAACTACACTTTCCATATAGGAACTGGACAGACTCTAAGGAGTATCAAAAAAAAAGGAAAATAACTATTCTCCCTTCATTTTTGGACCTCTTGTGGACTCTATTAGGTTTTGAAGTGTCACTGACAAGTGTTTTGTTTGTTTTCTATTTTCCTGTTTTTGAGAACTTTATTTATTTATTTTTGTGTTTTGGTATTATCATTATCATTATTATTATTATTATTATTATTACTATTATTATTATTGCCACTGCAATAAATAGCAGTATTAACAAACCTTTTTTTGGCATCAATTGTATTAATTATTCACCCAATCATGACTCCATGTCGTACCTACTTCTGATCTACAAACTGGTTAACACTATACCTTGCAGTCAGATCTGCGCATCAAAAGAAAGCGTTACATAAAGATTAAGGTGATGATATTAAGTGTTCGCCAGATATACTTTGAGCTCACCAAAAGATAGATTCTCCACAGGCCAACTGAAATGTGGAGAAGTTTTAGAAACAAAAGATTAATTATATATCTATATTTCATAAGCATTGAAGAAATGTCAGGCTGAAGGAAGAGATGAGATGTTTATGGGTTTAAAAGTGGAGAGGGCACAATGTTTGCTCCACTTACTTCATTGTTCAGGTTCTTGTGTGTGTGTGTGTGTGTGTGGAATATATGAGATTGAAGAGTCATAATGCTTTCATTGTGAATATTTTTGTAAAAAAATCAAATCAAATCCATTGAGGTTTAGCTGAGCTAGTGCTCATATGTTACGATCAGGTTAGCAGACCTTCCTGTTCAAATGAGAACAAATGTACAAATGTTTAAGTGTTGACAACTGAAATCCACTAACAGCACGTTTCCAACTTACATGGACATTTTCCTTCTAATGGAGTCACTTTCGACGAAAAAACGTTTGATCATTTCACACAGCTTTACTTCATAACCAAACCTTTCCATTTTTTTACAGGTGGTAAATTACATCACAGCAGCCAAACAAAGCAGCTCTTAAGCCACGAATGAGCTGTGATGCAACACCTTGACTGATTCTGTGATGTTTTAGACTCATTCTGTGTCAAAAGGCACTTCACTTTAATCTCTGAACCTACTCTCCAGAAGGTAAAATTGCCCTAAATCTGGGTCAATAAGGTGGTTTCCCTCAAGCTGGGCACCACAGGCTGAACAGGGATATTCGACACGCTCCAGTCTGCTGTAACGTGAGCACGCATACTCGCACAAACACACCAACTCGCAGGCAAACAGTGAAACCTAAGCACGCAAAAACACTTTGCAATTGTAAATCAATAAACAATTACAAAACGACCATCACGCAACACGCTGCTTACTGACCCCAAGTCCCTCGGCGGCGGGCTGCGTCTCCATTTTCTTGTTTGTCGGGGCGGCTGAAACATCGGCTGCGATAATGTAGCTGCCGCTTAACACCGACGTCCCTCAGCGAAGGCTTGAGGAGTGCAGCAGCCAGAAAAACGTGAGTGTTTCTGTTTGCGCCTCGCCTTCTTTACAGGAGAATAACAGTGTGTGTGTGGGTGTGTGTGTGGCTGCTGTTCATGTGAAAATTGATTGGACCCGCTGCAAGTCGGTAAAGTATTTCAAGCATTTCATTTAAAAAACGTAAATCTTGCAAATCAAGTCAAGTCACATTAGCTCATCCCAGTGATGATTAACTTAAAGTTGTTGTTTTGTTGTAAAAGTAGATGGAGCATTCAAAACACTGATACCAAAGACAATAAAGACGAGCGACAAAATGGTTTTAAATAGCTGATTCTGCCAGAGAAACACGAAATGCACAGCAGCCGACCTGTGGAGTTAGGTACAGAGAAAAAACAAACACACAGACCGCAGCTGGTAAGACTGCACTTAAATCAACTATTTACCTACAATAGAGGTTCAATTACTATAAAAACAGCTTCAGTGCGCCCAAGAAACAGGCAGTAAGTCGCAGGCTTCGTACAGAGCTTGCCAGTGGGAAGGTGTGACTGACATCTTAGGGTTTCGCCCTACGGTCAAGAAGGGGGAGTGAAGAAACCACCTCTATTTCAAAGAAAAATGTCAAAGACATGCTGACTTTTTATTCAGAAAGTACCAGGATTGGACGTTAAGAGTACTGATGTAAAGAGATTTTCTCAGTCTAAACAGACTGCTTGGGATAAACCACTGGAGAAGAAGAGGTGAATGCAGCCGCGGGTCTTCTTGTGTCACACCGAAGCGCCTTGAGACAATGATGTGTGGTTTTGCATCTTGCCGGTGCCTCAAAACATGGTCATTCTGGTGATGGACGACGTTTATCTGGATTGATGGAGCATCGTGTCAGAAGGCGGAAGGGATAATCGCTCAGATAATGTGGCCATCGGCAGGAAACTCCCAAGTTATTCATTCAGTTGAGAATCTATTGACAGCGGCATCGTCAGATGAAGATGTGTGCCGAGTCTCCACAGTGAAAAGCCCAACACACAAAAACGTGCAAGACAAAGAAGTGCTTTGACAAAAAAAAGATAGCCAGAAGTAATGTACTGCAGGTAGTTGCTGGAATGTCTGCTAGTCAAAACGTGAAGTGAAGCCCACCAGACATAGTGGCTGCTTCCAAAGAGTCGATTCGTAGGACTTCATAGATTTTGATCCCATCACACACCAGTCCAGGGAGACGTACCATACATCCATCAGGAAATGTTGGCCATGCAGACTCCAGCCTGATCCAGAACCCAAAGAGCGTGAAGGTGCAACCTGAAGGTTCCAGCCACTGAACATTGCTCTACAGAACAACCTAACATCAGCACATTATTCCCTATTCAGATACTGCACAGTATAACATGTGGACTCATTATCCAACCTCAATAAATTTAACAAATGTGGGTGATGCTGTCTGATGAATCAATAAATCACCTCCATTTTGAGATGGTTCAGTAATGGTGCAGCTCTGCTCATTACGTTACACTTTATGGCCTTAGGAGACCATCTGTCATCTTCCTTTTGTCTGTGATTTGATCATGAGGGTAAAAGATAGAGGGAGAGTCTGGATCTGACCAGACACCTAAATCCCATTAATAGGTGAACCAGTTTCTTGCAGATTAAATCTTTTGATACCTGAAGAGGTACATGTTCATCCTGTTGTAGATGTAGGCTACATTTACACAAGACAGTTGCCTGGAAACTTGACAGTATTTTTGGATGTTGATTGGGGAAAGTTCCCTGTTTTGAGGGCAACAGAGAAACGCCTTGAATCAGCTGCAGCTGTCTCGTACGACGTTGTTTTTGCAAGTTGTCAAATGTGAATTCCCTTAGCTTCCACCTCATAGTAAATGTTAGAAATCCATCTGACGTGAAAAAAGTGCTGAAATAACATCAATTCCTCATCGGACACAGCAGGTTAAGTATTACAACACAGAACAATGCTGTCCGCCATTGATTTTGCTGTCATTTGTCCGTTCTCGCATAAGATGATCCCTGCAGTGGTGTGTTCTGTGCATGCGAGCTTTCACACCAGCAAAGTACAGGAAGGTTTCGCTCTGAGACTTGGTTCCAAAAGGTGAAAGACTTTGGCCTCGGGCGTCATGTAAGAAAGCAGCAGAATCGCAACAAACATGTTACGGTTTGATTAAAAAGTAAAACGGGTTTGTTGATAAAGAACGCGGCCATTTATAGAAGCATGTTACTGGAGTTCTTACTTTTTGGATCGACGAACGATGCAAACGCTTGTTACTTTTTGGCAAGCAGGAGGAGTTTTGCCAGATAGGTGGGTGAGCTGGTCTGGAAGAACTGAGAGCAAGTTACCAACAAAAGCTGGCAATTAAGAGGCGTCCCTGGAGGAAGACACAAGCATCTGGAATCGCAAAGGGCTCAGAGAGTTAACACTTTTGGCTTTGAGAAGATTCTAGCTCCCCCTGCGGCTGCATTCGGTGTTCATGCACTCCCACACAAACTGAACCTCTAACCCGGCACATTTTGTTTTGTCAAACAATCAGCGATTTGAACTGAAATCCATTAAAGAGCTGCAAAAACACGAAACGTGTATCTGGTGGGACGGAGGAGCCAAAATGTGAACACACACACAGAAGACAGGACGTTCATCTCTCGGAGATTTAGAGAAGGACGAGAGCGTTTCAAATTCACATATCTTTATAAGACAGGACAAAATGGAAAAGGAGATCGTCTGATTGTTTGAAGACATTTTCTTAAGAGAGTCACATTAATACAAAGATCTATCATGGAATACCAGTATTTTATATACTGCAGTCGTTATACCACATTTTTATATTCTGTAACATGTGTACATGGTAATATGCCAACTTTGCTTCAAAAAGTGTTCAGTTAGTTCATCCAAGAAGAAGAAGAAGAAAAAAAAAGAAAAACATATTAAACAATATATAACTCACCATGAAAGGATTACAATACCCTGCAAATGCTCACGGTCTGTGTCATAAAGTCTTTAAGCGTTTATCTTTACCACAAGAGAATACACACAAAAAAAAAAAAAAAAAAATCAATACTTTGGGTAACTCGATGGATTTTGATCCCTCTTGTCATATAAAAAACACGTGGAGGAAGTGAATGCTCATTAATGCTTTACATAGTTCCAAAGGAGAACGGAGACGGACACAGCGACGCTGTGAGAAGCTGTGGGACGCCGTGTGGCGATAAAAACAGAGGCGTGTGGAGAGAACCACGCAGAACTGCTGTATATTCAGACACAACATGAAACAGGACAGTCGCCTGAGGTTCGTCGTTCAGATTGAAATTTCCAGGACGTGAGAAAACGAAACTGAAGCATGTTTCTTTTTCAGCTCAACCTTCGAAATTGACCTAGTTTTGACCTCACTGTAGATTTCGTGGGTGTTTCTTCCTCTTTCTAGAAGAAAACTTTTTATATTACCGGGTTCATTTAAGACAAATGACCAAACTTCATTAACAACAATCAGCTGATTTGGAATGGGTTGATACTTTGTGATTTAATGGTAACAGAAGAGGCTTCTTTGTCAGATACAGCAGGTGTAAAAAAACAGCCACCACACATGAATAGCTGACGGAAAATATGGCTGTATCATAAAAACATGATTCAGTTTCTTTATTTTTTTTTGGACAGTAACATAACGAGACCTGGATGGAATCAACCAGTGAAGTCTGTAGTTTCCGTTTCAACGTATTATGCCTATTTGCTTTCTTGTTAAGAAAAGTGAGAGGAATGGTACAGTTGTGAGATTTTGAGCCAGAGATACGTAAAAGCTTATCACCAAAGTCTAAACACAGGACGCTTACTTTCCAACCAGCCTTGAACAGCATTAAAGTCCACAAATCCACTTAGATGTCATTGGAACCAGAACACAGAATTACCTCAATGGTGCAAAGAAAATGATGCTGTTTTGATAACATCAATAGAATCTGGGTTTCTTGGTTTACAGGAAACCTTGGTTTCCGGTAAATCTTTCGGGAGGTATTCTAATATCTCGATGTTGTCACTTATCAAGGTTTTGAAGACAAAATTGAAGATCTGACCGTACCGTTCCTATAGTTTTGTTTTTGCTAAAATGCTGAAGAAAAAAAAAACACTCTGGTTTTGGATCAGTCTAAACTCAAAATTAGAACATTCCAGATTTCATTGCGTTAGCATAGCTTGGTCGAGCTGGCACTGACTCTGAGATTTCGTCCGCTGAGACAAAAGGTATTTAAAAAAACAACAACAAAACAACAAGGTTATTCACAAACACAGATTGCAAAGTTGTTATGCAGACAGAGAAAACTCACATACACATCTTCATTTCTCTAGAAATTCAATAAAAATGTCATGATTGTAAATATCCATTTTTCATGTTTGGGGTATGAGCGAATCTGACTGGACTGCTGTTCTATACGGCTCTGACATTTAGAAAAATTTGACCATTTTTTAAAGACGTTGAGGAAACAAAAGTAAGAGTAATGTAATGTAATTCCATTTTGATATTTTCACTGAGTTTTTTTTTTGTGTGTGAAAAGACAAGAAAACAATTCAAAAACATAAAAAAATCAAAAATCTAAATCTGACAGCAGTGAGAAATCCCAAATTATTTGCGATAAGCAGCTTCGGAGGCTGGTTCTGCCGTCGATGACTCTGAGCTAAAGAAAGCAAATAGCCATATTTCACAAAACGTCAAACTACTCCTTTAAAGGTGCCAAAACATGAATATGGTCGGACTTGTAGAAATGTTTCTCTTCAGCAGTTTCACCCAAAAAAAAAAAAAAAAAAGCCTGAACGTGACAGAGCATGTGTTTGTGTTTCGGGGGTCTGTGGCGTGGCAGATCACTTAACTTGCTTTAAAAAGCAAACAAAGTGGAACGTAAAGGCGAGGCTTCGGCGCCTCCGGTGCGTGGACCATGGCTCTGAGTCATCCCGCGCTCTCCACAGTCAGCGTGACGCGCCGTCAGCAGGGGGTGGGGGGTGGAGGTGCCCCGTTTTGAACTGGATTTGCCGTCGTCACGCGGGTAAAAGTCCCCCGAGAGACGTTCTCCCACGGAAACGGGACGAGAACAAGGACCGCAGCTCGATGCTTCAGTCACCCGGATCACAGTCAGGAAAAGGAACCAAAGTAAAATCAGGGAAAAAATAAGTTAACACAATTCTGACACGTAGAATTTTACAATATGTACATTATTTTTTAAATTAAAATAGACTTTGTCAGTTGTCTGATTGGACAGGTCCTCAAACAGAGCACAGCGTTTCCAGCCAGTGTTATTCCACAGTTTCTCTTCGAAGGCTCGGAGCCGGCCAATCAGAGAGCGTGTAAGGCTTCCTCATCTCTGGTCCCTGCCAGCAGTTTGTTGGTCTCCACTTCGGACAGGGGCCAAGCCCTTGGCGACAAAAAATGTCGGACCCTTTAACACCTCGACTGACCTTGAAAAGGAAATAAATATAAAATATATGTAATATTTCTATATATATATATTAATAAAACCAAACCCAGAATAGATTTTGAACTCTGATGTATTCTCTCCACTGTGTCAAGTTGTAGCCGTTTTCCCATCGCCAGCCCGGTTCCCTTCCTCCATGTTTGTGTAATTTTTGCAGTTTCTTTTTTTTTCTCCTTCCCCCGAGGGGGAAAAAAAAGACAAAATTCTTCAAACATGTACATCTTATACGCAAGTAAAGAAAATGTAAAAGTGCGTGGGTTTTTTTTCTCCTTTTTCAAATTTTTTTTTAATATGTTTTAATCCACTATATCCAAAAGTGTTGCAGGCACTTAAGTCCCTCCCAAACGAAGCAGGTGTTTTTTCGACAGTGGATCAGGTTGGTTTGGTTATTCCTGGATTTTCATGTGGGGGGGTCTCTTTGTCTCGTTTTTTGTCTCTGTCGATGTTTTCCGTCTGTCGGGGAGCAGGGGGGTGTTGGGGGGATTCGGGGAGGGAGGGTGGTGAGGGGGAGCGGCTGCCGCTAGCCCAGGATATCCAGGTAGACTGGGGTGGCTTTTCCCATGGCGAACAGGACCTTCTGGATGTCCTTAATGTTCAGTCGCTGCTGCGGTTCCCTCTGCCAGCAGCCCAGCATGATGTCGTAAACCTCCTTGGGACAGATCCGTGGCCTCTCCAGCACCCGGCCCTGGGTTATGCACTCGATAACCTGCGGAGGAGGGAAAGAAAGAGACAGCGGTGGGGTGAGAGAGGCCGTCCGCACGGGCTGGCTGCTTCGCTTCCTCCGTAATGAGAAAGCGGTGACACCAGGCGGCCCGTCCGTTGAGATTCGAGCTAATGAAACCGATATCAGTGGCACACATTCAGTTTTAAAGGACAAACAGGATTTCTGTTTGCGATTTACTTATTTATTTATTCCTGTCCCACATCATGAAATTCTAATAAACAAAAACAGTGACGGTGGACGTGTGAAAACCAGGCTCGTGCAGCAATTAGTCAGATGACTCACCGTTGTCATGACAATTTGACTTCATTATTTCAAACTGATAAGGCTGTGTGTGGACGAGCTCGTCTCTCCCTCCAGGAAACTCCCCCGTTGTTGTTGTTGTTTGGTGTTTTACATCAATAAATACATTTTATGTTCAGACAACGACAACCAGAGTACACACAGCACAAAAAGCTGTTTTCTAAAGAAAACCAAAGTGAAATTTAATTTAAGCCTAACTCTAACCCTAACCAGTGTTAGCAATGTCAGTAACTCGCGTCGACATTTAATAAATCCACAATACATGTTCGAAGGGAAGCAATTAAGAAAAAAAGCAACCAAGTTCTCAAGAATAATTAGCACTGTGAGGACTGAATGTGACCTAAATCAGCCTGAACAAACGCAGCGTCACTCAGCAGACTGACTCCCGGTTGCGCTGATAAATCAGCCGGATTCTCGGCCGGTGCTGTTGCCAGGAGACGGCAGCTTCATTGTGCTGCTTGTCATTGAGGAATTTATGCAAAGAGGCTCTACGTGATCCTCCATCGCACCGCCGCCTTGTTTGCTGTTGGTGGCACAAGGCGACGTACAGACTGAGACGACGTGAGCGAGGAACGAAAGACGACGGCGACGTTTGGTTTCATGTGCTGCAGCCTATTTAAATAGAATAATTGTGCCGTACTTGTTGCAGGAAATTCGGTAAATCAGGAACGTTTTTCAAAGTTTGTGTTTTACAGTCAATGAAATATGCAGCTTTCGGATTGAAAATGTAATTCACTAATACATTCATTGAAACCTAATCATCCTTAAACTGGTTTCCCCTCCTATTTTTGTGAATTTGTGATAAAACATGACACTGCTTAGAGTCCCTGCTGGCCGCATGCGACTCGTCGGTCTTTGCTAAGGGCCCAACGCCCACCCTGCAGTTTCAAAAATCCTACTGGGCTTGAACGCGTCATGGTGCAAGTTCAACATCAGGGAATCAAAGCAGCATCTCCCATCACACTGCGTGATTGATGACTGTAGCAGCAGATTTCTGTCGTGCAGGTCTGACAGAGATACTAGTGTGATAATAAATGCACAGCTGTGTTAATGTGCTTTTAATTGAGAAAACAGTGAGTGGAGGAGGAGGAGGAGGAGAAGGAAGAGGGGAGCAGAGCGGTGTGGCGGCATACATTTCTGCTTTATATTTATAGCAGGTAGCCTGTGGTCAGGAGAGCACTGCATCGGTCGGTGTGTCTGTCAAACTGACCGTCCAGACACCGGCTGTACGGCCGGGTGTGTTTTAATTGCAGATCATACTGCAGTCAAATAATGATGCTACCTTTATTTGTTACAAAAAGCCATAAGTATTAAATACAACTTAAAAGAATTTGACTTTGCATTTTAGCCAAATCTGCCTGCCTCACCTCCAATCTGTTCTCTGCCGGTTCTGATCGCTCCTCAGAACACGAAACACGTCACACACAACAAAAAGCACTGGACATTATATACATGAGCTAAATTATGGAAAATCAGTTCATACATTAAATGTTTTTAGCCATTTTATTGGTGACCAGGAGGAGTGTGCTCCCATTGAATGGCAGCCAGTCAGAGAGGTTGATCAAACCCAGGTGAGGCTCAGCTCACTGCTGCCTCACCAGCTTCGCTTTCGGGCATTTGAATGGGTTTAAAATCCAGTAATTTTTAAGAAAAAAAAAAAATAGAACTGACTAAGCCAAATGAAAAATAGGTACTTTACAGTATAAACCACAGGGTGAAAATGGCAATATAAATTATTTTATCATAATAGATTGTTTCCATGATGACAGGTGAGGATCTGTCTCCCCTGTTTGCACGTCGCCGCTTTGTAATGCTATATCCTAACAATCCCTGCAACTTCTCTGCCATCTACAGCTTTAGCAAAAGCTGAACATCGTTCAGAATTGCCGTAAATCACGATGAGTTTTAACAGAAAGCTGGAACTGAATCAAAATGTGTTTCAGCAAAGTGTTGAGGGACTCCACATTTATTCCACCAACCTTATCAGACTGAGTATGTTTCACTTTTCTCATAAAAATATGTTTTCCGCCTAAATTGGGCAGGATATCACCCACTTTATTTGGAGAAAGTCACCTCTGAGAGCCGTTGTGCTGCATATCAAGCCCACGCTGTCATCTTGAAGGGTAGAATCGTTGTCACCAAAACGGTTCTCGGCACGCAAATCCGCGGCCACACGAGATCAGGTGTGACAGGCTCTCGCGGTGATACTTAATGGTGTGAGAAAATGGTTGTTCTAGCCCGGTAATTTCTGCATCTCCGATCGATTGGATGGAAAACGAAAGTTTGGAACAATTAATGTGAAAGTCAATTTTGCTGGTAAGCTGCAGAAAACCTGTTCCTGTTGAGTTAGGAGCGAACCGGAGCTTCCACAGTGACCCGTTTTATTCGTCATTCTGGAGGAGTTCCGCCATGAAGGCGAAAAGTGGCCCGTCGTCACGGCTCAGAGACTCAACAGCCACATCAATTGACGCTTTGTTGAGCGACAACAAAAATGATTAAGTCTTTGAGGTCTGTTTGTCGCACCTATCTGATTGTGTTTCATGCGCTTTCTTCTGTGCGGACGACAACAGCGCGGCGCCACGACAGTGACTAATGATCGACCAATATCTCCTCTTGTCTGCTCTATTTTTGGACGCAAGTGGGTATTGCGCATACTGTATGTTGACTCAGAAGCACAATAAATAAATAAATAAAGTAATTTATAGGTTTGGGCCAACACAACAAGCCTGGCAGATAAAGCTGATGCTAATTTTACTGTGCGGCTCCAGAGGAGCCTGCCTGGTCACAAGAGAGACGGCCATGTTAGTTACAAGTTCCTGTAGTACCCAGGTAATAATCTATCACTTCGACTCCAGCCACTCAGGCCCATTAATAATTGTTGTAGTAATGTATCTTTGTGCAACCTAAGGAGCTGTGAAAAGCACTGCTCCGCTTGGAGCCGTATAGGTGAGGCTGGGGAGCATTGTCGACCGTAACCCCTGGTGTTCCCCAGGGCTGTGTTCTCTCCCCACTGCTCTTATCACTGCACGCAAATGACTGCACCTCAGCGGTGAAACTCTTAATGTTTGCAGAAGACTGTCAGTCTGATCCAAGATGGTGTCCGGTCTGCTTACAGACAGGAAGTGGACCTGCTGGAACGTTGCTGTGGTCTGAACTCGCTCAAGATGAGATGATACTGGATGAGATGACATATATACGCACTTTTGCAATGGCGAAGAAATTAAACTAAAATTATATGTGAATGAACTTGGTCATGCGATAAGTCATAAAGGTCATGACAGCGACAGATGCCACCAGTTCCATGAAATATATTCATAATTCAGCCATTGAGCCAGCGCTGACAATCTACCAGCTATTGGGGGAGACATCTGCGTTTCCTTCATTCGTTGGAGCGACAAACCTTTTACACTACGTTCACACCGACACTGTAGTAAGCAGGCCCAGCAGAGACGACGTCCTACGGCAACTCCAGTAGCAACAAAGGTGTCCTGTTCATCTTCTCCACAGTCATTATTCAGACTGGGCAGGACCAGACTGCAATGAATAATTAGGTCGGCTGACAAGAACATCTGGCCTGACATTTCCTCCACCCAGGACTTGTACAAGTCTAGGGTCAACAAAAGGGCAGCTAGCATCTCTGCAGACCACACACACCCTGGACAGAAACTGTTTAGACTTTTACCGTCATCTCGACACAAAAACTTGCTGCCACTGACAGATAACTCTCGCAGGGCGTCTCTGATGAACGCAATGAGCACTTTTCACAGCAGCAACTCTGCTGTGAAACAAATAGTTTCTGTATTGCGACCAAAAAAATGCTCACAATATATGTGCATTGTGTTCTTTCAGAGGTCTTTAATCTCCTTGAAAGTTAATATATTTATATTTAATGTCTGTTTGCTCTGAGCTTCTGAAACTGAAGTTAAATTCCTTCTTTATGCACAAAGGCCTGGGTATTATACTTTTTTGTTTTCTTTTTTTTCTCTCTTGGTTTTTCCTTTGGTTTATTGTTTAGTTGTGTCTCCTTCTAACTCATGTAAAGCACTTTGAATTGCCTTGTTGCTGAAAATGCGCCATATAAATAAAATGACCTCATGTTACCTTAACGCCGATTCTAATATTTCTGGTTCAATTAGTTTTTATTTCCTGCTATAAATTGCAGAAATGCCAGTTTGTGTTATTATTAATATTATTATTAATATTATTATTACGCGAGTGCAATCAATGACAGGGGCAGATTGCCCTCTTTAGTGGAGGATTTTGCTTGTGCAGTTGGCTGTCATCATCCAGTGTTGGAGAGCAGAGTGGCCATAAAAGAAAGATGACATAAAAAGCCATCATGCTAAGGGAATAGTAATAATAAAACTACATTTCATCTAATAAATACACAATGTGGTACAACAAGACAGTAAAGATATATAGAGATAAATCAAAATAAAGCTCTAAACTATTAAATCTAACTCACAAGTGGTTGTAACTACCCTTTACAAACCTTTGGTCCTCTGCCCGTCCAGCCAGTACATTGTCTCTGCAACAAACCATGGAAATATCTCTGACATAACAAGATAATAGTTCTTAGTCGCCTGAAATGGGAAGTGGTGGTAAGAATTGGCCTGTTTTTGTAAAGCGATTTATCAAGGACCAGAGGACTCCGCAGCACTTTACTCTCCATATTCAGTTAGTCATGGACACATTCCCAAGCTACTACAATATAGTCACAGCTGCCCTTGGGGAGTCTGACAGAAGTGAGGCTGCCACACACCGCTACTCGAAGACAATCCGGATGAAGTGTCCTCCCCGAGGACACGTGGACTCAGACATACGCGGTGGAGGCTCGTCTGGAGGCTCGTCATGTTTCAATGCCAAAGGACAAATTCCCACCATTGCGTCCCCTATTAAATGATTAACGCTTCCTCTTTAAAAAAACAAACAAAAAAATGTTTAGATCCATTACAAGGGTAGGCGTTTGTCTACCTTCCAGTCACACTGCATGACACTGTCAATAAAACGACAACCTTAAACACGATGTTCAAACCTATCGACGTTGCTATGCTAAGGACTAGTCATAGTAGAACCAACGACAGACCGGCTGGAACCAAAATGTTCAATAATTGTGTGAGAACGGATGAGTCGTTCCTGTCTTTGGTTGAATCTGACATAATTAACCAGCTTCTTATGATAATTTCACAAGATTTAAAACAACAAATAGATTGAGTGAGATGTTTCATCATCCCCTTCGTCACCTCGTCATCCATTATAAGGCTCTGAATTTGAAACCTCGTTGTTCCTGACCATCCATCCATCCATCCATCCATCCATCCATCCATCCATCCATCCATCCATCCATCCATCCATCCATCCATCCATCCATCCATCCATCCATCCATCCATCCATCCATCCATCCATCCATCCATCCATCCATCCATCCATCCATCCATCCATCCATCCATCCATCCATCCATCCATCCATCCATCCATCCATCCATCCATCACACTGTGTGTAGCCTGCTGTGTCTCGTGGATGTTCATTGACATGCTGCAGGCTCTCTGTACCTCATTGTTACCCAGCTGAAACCAAGGCTGCTTCCCATAGGTAAAGATCTCCCAAAGGATGACCCCAAAGCTCCAGACGTCACTTTCCGTAGAGAACTTTCTGTACATGATGCTCTCTGGGGGCATCCAGCGGATAGGTAGCATGGTGTGTCCTCCAACCTGAGCAGACAAGAGAACAAAGACAAAGAGGGAGAGAGATTAGCTCTGCATACTGAAACGTTGTCTCTAAAAATGCAGCTCATCATGTTTAGTCATCAATGCGGCATCATTTAAGGATTGTCCGCCTGTCTGTAAATGCAACTGATCTGAAGGTTGTCTTTATGCCATGTTGCTGGGGTTTTAACAGTGACACAATGCAAGGAAACGGCGAGCTGCCTGCCTCGTCTTCTCTGTGCATTGGATCACTGCAGGGAGCATTTGCAGGTAGGCCATTAAATCCTCTCTCCTTTGACGCAGGGGCGTGGGCTAGCCTTGAAATCTGATTGGTCATCCTTCCTGGACGCCCTCAATAACTACACCACCAGGGATTTTGTAAAACATAATCAAATGTCCAAGTAACTTGGTCCCCCCCCCTCCCACTCAATATATTCAAATTATATTGAGCTCTAAACCATCGTGTTTAGAATAACTCTATAATACTGCAAAACAAAAAAGAAAAAAAGGCGAATTTATCTTGAGGCGTTTTTGAAAAGCTCTGCTCGGGCTGCAGGTAAATATGGTAGGCACTGACTGTATTTGGCAGTGGGAATTTAATATCTGCTCGACTTGTTGCCTGGATTTTGAATTCCTTTCACTTCCCACTGTCTTTCATGTTTTGCTGTGGTTTAGTTTTTTCACCTCTGCTGCTGTTCCTTTGACAGTTTTGTCAATAGAAAAAGAAAAAAAAAGAAAAGATGATTCTGAAGCCCACTTTGGGGGATTTTCTTATCTACAAGGCAGCAAACATACTCCTGCAGTGTATCAGATGCACACCTATCATCCATCCATCATCAAAACCGCCCACCCATCAATCCACTCGCTGATCCGCCAAGCCCAGACAAACACCCACGCTAATTTTCTGCGCTCAAAGGCGACATAAAAATGAACACTGCGGTCGGAACCGAGGCCCAAAAACGTACGTGCCTCCACCAGGCGAGGGTAGATAAACTTGCCTCCTATGTGCACCTCTGGGTTAGAACACAATCAGATTCATTTAATCATAACAAGCTCCTCTCTAAACTCCATTTACCAGCTCTGACATCTGTGTGCCATCAGCTGTGAGTGCAGTGTTGCTTTTCAGGAGCCAGGGGAGAATAAGGAAGTCAGCTTGAGTGTTTTTAATTACCTCCCAGTTCTGCGGCACGCTCATCGCAGAGTTCCTTTGAATGTCATATGTGTGTCAGCTGGATGTCGCAGCTGACTCTAGTGGATGTTTCTAAAGTAAAACTGTCGAGCTGCCAAAAGGCTGCTTATTTCTTGGCATTTATTTACAGATTCTTCTAGTTTCCACACGTCATAAAATTTCTTCTCCTTGGCATTAGGCTTGCTTGTTTTCCTTTGTTTGTTTCTCTCTCTGAAGTTGGGCTTTTAGAAGCAAAATTTTGCCTTTGATTCTACTAGTGAGTGTCCATGATGCCTCACTACTGACCACTGGCAGATTTCAAACTGTTTCACATGAACTTGCACCAGAGTGGATGCTTTCTGTCAACAGCGTCGCTTGTAAACGTCTTCAAAACGTCTTCACTACCAAAATGTCACTTTAAAACCCCACATATTTCATTCAGGAAACCACAGGAGCCACATTTTTCAATTTGAAGAGTATAAAGGGTAGAAAAAGCCACAGCACATTCCCTGTGTTGCCTTTCAACACCGCGCGCTATCAGACAGCAACGACAGCAACCTTTTGTCAGATTATAACCACAAACCTCAGTGGTTTTTTTATTATTATTTTTAAGTGACAGAGAAAGTAGTGCATCATTTTATTACTATTTTTCACAAATAGTATTCTAAACAATTCGGTGTGGATTTGTACTCATTTATTCAAGTCACAACCTGGAATAACCTTTAGCTCCTTTTACAGCTGCTAGTCTTAGTGGATGTATTGATTTTTTTTTTGTCCTTGCAAAGATTACTTTTGGCAAAAAAATAAAAATGACTTAGGCCGTTATTTTAGGAAGATGATGAATGTAGAAATTGAAACGTCTGGCCATTATTTTTTTCAAGAAACCTCAAACTCAGATTGGATGGAGTGAAGCTCAGCTCTTCACACACATCCCCCAAACAGTCCACACACCTAAAGATAAAAACAGATGAAAATGAAAAATCAGTTTGTTAAATTTGTGGCAAAATCCAGAACAATGCACGATAAAGGCATTTCTCAAACATAAATTTCGTCTTTGAAATTTTCTTGAAAGTAATGTTAGTCTTGTCCCATCTTGTCCTTGTGAAATCAGTACTTTGTTTCGTCTTGTGGGTTTTAAGCATCGTTTCACCCTGACGGTCCAGTCAAATTGAGTCCAAAATTTTCACAAAGCGCTGAAGTTTGCTTAAAAGTGAGACTGCCCTGACTTTTATCAGTACTTTCCTCATCCTATTTTGTCAATGTAGGGTTGAATAAACAAGATGTTGCTCTGCACCACAGACAGGCAGGCAGGTAGGTAAACACCACCACCCTACAGCTTTGTGCTACTCAGGGAAAACATTAAAGAGACATTAGTTTCAGTGTCACCCCAATGCAGGAATGCCCTCAGCCCGGAGCTCAAAAGTATCATTAGAGAAGGACACAGAGTCACTAGTTGGTTGTATTTTGTATCTTTTTTTGGCTCTTGTAACTCATCAATGTAGAACCTTTTCTCAAATGCCTTGGACAAGTCGATACCCAGTGTGTCCTGCTTCCCATGCAATGATATCCCAATCGCTGTGTGCTGTCCTTCCATTTACCACAAATCAATATGTGTACAGAGGGCCTGCAGGGGAACAAGACTGTTGGAAACTGTTTCGTACACTAACAGATATATGCTGACCGAAAGTCAAAATCACAGCCCATTAACCTCCACAAAGTCAGACTTCTGAACTTGGTGGCGTTTCAGCAAAACAGATGCATCATTTGTCTTCCATTCATCCCAATTGAAAACACATATGAACATCAACAAAGAAAACAGAAGTTCAAAACAGCTGCAGTGTCACCGTCTCTTCCCCTTCCATGTATACTGCTGTCAGCGTAAACATCAAAAAATTAAATGCGCCAACAAGTCCCGACACTGCTTTGAACCAAGTGCATTGCTTCTGCAGCACCTTTTGGTCGTATAATGTGTGCATAGTGGGATGAAATGTGTGTGAGATTCACAACCTTCCACTGGATCCTGGTACGGTACATTGGTCTGGAGGTAATAACACCCTCTTATTTTATTGCCTTAATCATATTTTAAGATGAACTAACTTGTCAGTCTGAGCCCCTTCGGTCATTCAGCATGCCGACGTGAGTAAATCACCATCAACAAACACAGAGCAACTGCATGGCATCAGTTCTATAGCAATAACACACATATGCATGTCTCAGAAGATGAAACGCTCTTTAACTAAACTACTATCTGCTGGCAACCAAAGACAATATGCAAAAGAATTATGGGGATATAACATTTAATACGTATATAAATATGGTGAAAGTTTGGTGTTCAGTCCAGTTACTGTATGAATTGATTCAAACCAGTGCACTTTTCTATCAACAAGTGAAACGACTGCTAACATTTACATTTCAAGGGTAAAAATAACATTTAAAAGGGTCAAGTAGTTAAAATAAATACCTGAACAGAGTCATTTTATACTAAAATAACATGGTTCATATCATCTACATTTTTACTGTTCTACTGTTGGCACAAGAGTAAAATATTGATGACTGAACTATGATAAAAATCTTTTTGAAAACTAAATTCGATTTTGGGATGTAAACAAATTTAAGTAGCTTGCGGGTGTAACTATATAATAATAAAATTCAGTTCACTTTTTTCAGGTTTCGGTCAAACTGCATTTCTGCCGCACTTCCTGACTCCAGATTTTGGTCCCGGTCTAAACGACAGATGCACCGGGGCACGTTAGTCACGGTTTTCTTTTGTCTCAAGACAACTGAATGCTGGTTTTGTGAGGAAAACTGAAATGTATGACACAAGTAATGGTAACAACAAAAAACCCGTGAGACCCAAAGTCTCATGGGTTACAATCTGATTCTCTATGACCGAGTTTAGACCAAGACGTCGACAAAAATGCTTCAAGATCCAGGAAGTCTGGTTAGAAGTTGTGTGTTTTTCTTTTTTGTTTTGTTTTTTTTGGAGCATTGAAAATACAGAAAGTGGAGTGACTAAGCTAGAAAATTGAAAAGCCCAAGTAAAAAAAACAAAAGGATCGTAAACAAGAAAACATGAAAATAATTTCAAAGATGTAATATTTTAGAATAAAACAGGCCTATAGCTGCTTCCAAGTATTGTGGGAAGGTGACACTTTCTCAGCTCAAAGGTCAAAGAGAAGCTTTTTGTTCCGCCAAATTGTCTTTCTGTTTGTTGCACATAGCTCTGAGAAAAGTGAGTAGAAACTTTTCTTTCCCCGTCGTCTGTCAGGAGATTCGTTCAGCCGAGTCCTCCGAGGTTTTCAAACTGCAGACAAATCAGAGTCTGGAGGAGCCTTGTAGTTCTCAGCGAAGCTCCTGGGACTGGACGTCTGTGATTCGGATCAAATTCCAGGTTGTGTTTAAGTGTGTCACAGGAAGCAAAAAGCTAATCTGATAACCTCAAAAAAAAAAAAAAAAAAAAATGGCTGCAAGATAAAATAAATTATTTTTCTCCCAAGAACGAAGCCACCAGAACCCCAAGGTAAGTTGTAAAGGACTCTAATGTTCAAGTTAATGAGAATACTGAACAATAATGGCATTGAACACTAAACTTGTGAGGAGAAAACTATTGTTTCTATTAAAAAAAACTAAATGCAGTCAGGCTGTTGATACAACCTGAGAGCAAAAAGTTAGTGGACTATTAAAATTGACTTAAGATGAGCCAAAATGATAAATTTCTGGTTTATGAAAGAACCTGGTTGTTATCACATTGAAAATGATGCAAACACACAGTCACAATGGTGTGATAGTAAGGGCTGGTTTAGAGATATTACCATCATGAAACAACTACTGATATGGG